AAGGTTTAAATGTTTTAGTTGTTTATGGTGTGGCACTAGTGTGGAAAGCTGTCGGAATAAAATGGCATCCACCTTCGAACGCATTGTTATGCTAATTTGATTTCCGGCATGTTAGTTGACAAAGAAATGAAAAATACGTGGATTTGAACCAAAATGTTATAGGCAAGACTCAGAATGCGACAGTGACAGCCACTGAAACGTAATTGAAGGCAAATGAACACGTCAAGCAAAAAAGACTTTTTCCAGTCGTAGCGTAAAATGGAGGCACATACCATTTTGACTCTTGAGGAGAATGGAAATCAGTTGATTTGAGGGTGTCACAATAAGTGAGGGAGTAAATCGTTTTTATGCTACGAAAAAAATGAAGACCTTGAACGTACTTTTTGGACTTTAGTACAACGTCATTTTTGTTTGATTACCTAACGTTTTTAGGTTCATGTGCTGTAAGTTACAAAGCACATACCTGAGCGGCCGTCCCTCAGCAAATAATGAAGCAAAGGCATTTTCGATGTCCAAATCGCGAAACTCTCCCTTTTTACGCAAACTGGGAAGTTCGAATTACTAAACGAAGTACAGCACGACGAAGCTTAGATATCCAAGATCCAACACATACCAAAAATTATATCTCAAAAGTGAATATTCTTGGTGTATTTTAAGTCTAACCGGACTATAAGTTGGAATTTGTTAGTACTCTAAATATACAAATATATTTTAGTATAAGGTAGTAACTAAGTTGATACTAAACAGAAAATCATAAATTTATTTTGAACTTTTTTCACAAATCACATATTAACATACCATGAACACCTAATGTGTCTTCAAGCTGGGCAACAATTCCATATGCTTTTTGTGGCTCTGACTGTAGTAGTACTTCGGCAACAGATCCTAAGACTAGTAATGCTTTATGGTGTACATTAGTTGTGTTCTTATCATCTGTAATACGAAATGTAGATACAAATAATGATTTCAATGTGCAATGCATATTTATTTTAATAGTGAAAGTATAGCCACACAATATGACATAAGCACTGAAACACATATCTTGTCGGGCAGCACAGTGTATTTAAATAGCGGTGGTTGTCGTTGCACTGCGCCTGTGCGACATTTGTGTTGATAAACATTGATTTTCCCACAATCCAACGTGCTCTTCTAATGAAAATCACAAGTATGAAGTTTGACCTGGGTGCGACTTGTACTAGTTACCAACAGTGGCTCCTTCGATACCTTCCAATCACCTAAACAAATACCTAATTAAAGCTTGGTGATGTCTCAGTTTGTAATTTTTGATCTGAGCAACAGTCAAAGTCGCCATCTTTGTTTATATGAGACCCATCTATCTTGCGCATACATGGCGCGACGACTACCGCCCTTTAAAATAGTTCTAGAATACTAGAGCAGATACATGATAGTTTTATATTTTATGTTTTTCACAAAACACATGATCACAGAGCTACTTTTAGCAGAAAAAAATGGCTTACAAACCATAAAAACAGAGATGCTTGAGCTATTTAACATAGGTTTCTAATAATAAATATATCACATCATATCAGATAATATTATTCCGTGGCATAAAGTGAAAATATTGTATGGTATTATAAGATGCATGGGTTTTCTGATTGTCACAATGTATTAGGAGATTCCGGGGAAGACCGTACTATTTTCCATGAAATAATGCCTTTCTATAGATTCCTATGGGTTATTGTTCTGAAAATGCCCATTTTTGGTATTTTGTCACATGATTTTCACTGAAACCCTGATTTGTACTATATGCAAATTTATAATTAAGTATCACTTTTAAAACAAAATATTGTTCTATTTAATAAAATCAGTGATTGTACAGGAGTGTTGAATCACCCAAAAATATTATATTAAATACAATAAAATAAAAACAAAGTACCGGTATAGAATAAAGAAATAACTACCTGGAAAAACAAACGTTTTCTTGAATGCCATTTTCATCAGTACGTCTACAAACTTTCCTGGTGGTGGTTTCTGTAATGCCAAAAAATGTGATAAAGTACGAAAGACCAAATTGGGATCAGGATTATTTGATAAAAAGATCATCTCCGTCAGTAGCATCTGTGATGTTTCCGTAGCAACTGCTCCCAGTGAATCAATGACGATATTCCTATATGCAACCTCTTTCTCAGATGAAGCATTATTTGTGATGTAACGTTCGGCTACAATTGTGAGATTGGTAGGAGAAAGCCGAGACAGTAGTTGTACCAACTTGTTGAAACAGCTGCTTCTTTCTACAGACTCTTCAAAAATACAAAATAATTCACACATAAAACTATGAAAGTATAGTCATGAATGGAGATGAGAAGATTCATACTGTTTCAAGATATTAGGCCAAAAAAAAAAATTGTTTTGTTGCCCTCAGCGACCGACCGAAAAATATGAAATATCGGGTCGCGTTTTTTTTTTCACATATACCTCGGCTATTTACGATACCCTTAGTTTTCACAAGTTTAAAAAAAAAAAAAAAAATCCAACCGACCCAATTTTTTTCAATTTTCCGACTTGAGAGCAACATAAGTTGTTGTTTTTTGGCCTTATGCATACCCACATTTAATTGACATAATGCCATTAGAAAATAGACATTGTAAAAAATGTAACACTGAAGCATTAAGAGATGAGTATTTTGTACTTGCTATATAGAACAAAGAAAAAAACTGTTTGATGAGTGTGCAATAAATATTTACACAATGGATGTGAAATCCATATTTCAAAAGATTATGGAGAATAACATACATGTAGCTTTAGCAAAATATTTGAAGAGCAACATTTTTAAAATCACAGAAAGTAATTAATTTATTTTTTCTTTTATTTTACTGACATTTCTCTTTTATTTTCCCTTTCAATTTTATCTCTTTTGAATTTTTTGCATTTGTATTTGTATTTCTTTGTATTTATGTTCTTTACCATTTAAAAACCCTCTGAAGGTTTTTAGTAGTGTAATAAAGTTATTAAAATTATTATTATTTTAGGAAGATACCAGTAGTCACACAGCTCTGTCATATAGTCTCTACCGGTAATTGTGTGGCCAAACAGATGTATTATCCAGATTGCAATTTGTACATACATGTAAAATGTAATAATTAAAATATTAAATAATGTTTGAACATGGATTGATAAAACATCCTTGGAAACAGAAAACAAACAATGTGCATGTTTATAAAAAAATTAATTTTGATATGCCCTGTGCTGATGACCCTCTTATATGCAAATAGTACACTGTATCCATGCCTGCCAGAAATGATCATTTTAATTAGATATTTGTGTGGATAAGACAGTAATCAACTTTGCTAATCAGCAAACAAGAGTTGCTAGATATTATGCAGTATTCATGTTTCAATCTCACTTTGTCTTACCTATGACTTTGTTCTTCCAGACACATGACAGATTCCCCTTTATCTCGCTGACAATTTCCTCCAGAGGAACTCTGTTTTTAATGTACTGTATGGCAAATATATATTCACATATAATTAGGAAATCTAGTATTATAAAGTGACACAAGCTGAATTAAATTGTTAAAATGTTCATGCTAGCAAAAGCCATGCCGGAAATTTACTTTATTTCAGCTTTTAAGCCTAAAAGTTTATTTTCTTTGATAATGTCAGCAACTTGCTTGCTCACATAAAACACGTTTAACAATTCGTTAATAATAGATCATAGCATTTATATTATTATTTATATATTTATAATATTTCCTCATAGCATGGATTATCTACCAAAACTGCTTCTACCGGTATATTTTCATTAGTATCAACAATTACAAGTGCCAAGCAAATGAAGTTACTCACCGCTGCAATTTGGATAGAGTCATTGACTAAATTATCTGGTTGTGTTATTGTAACGTTGATGTGTGCAAACTGTAACAGCTCAGTACTGAGATACTTCAAGGTTCCCGTGGAACTACTGGCCATCTCTGGTATGTCTGCAGAAAAGTATACATAAAATATAGAGCCTGGATTTAGCTTCATTTTAAAGGGCGGCAGTTGTCGCGCCGCGTCCTGTTCAATATGGGACTCATAGCGACGTATACATGTAAAATGCATTGTTTATTTACATGAAATTCGAACACGCGCTGCGCGACGACCACTGTGCTTTAAAACTGTTTATGGTACTATGATGAAGTAACTTATGAGTGTCCGTAAGTGAATTATGAGTGACCTGTTACTTACCGTAATCATGCATTTCATTTTGTTCCTTTTTTCGTTTATCCCCTGGAATTCCAGCAAACATGTCATAGCTACAGTGGGAAAAGAAATATTCTAAGCACCCTCTAGTGATCAAATAATATTTGCTTTTGTTTTAATCAATACTTCAATTTATAAAAAGATTTCAATTTGTTTCATTTTTGAATATCCCCTGGAATTCCAGCAAACATGTCATAGATACAGTGGGAAAGGAAATAATGTAAGCACCCTCTAGTGGTAAATAATTATTTGCTTTTGTTTTTATCAATACTTCATATAGTGGATTTTATTTATTTTAACAAAAATGTCACAGAAGCAGTGGGAAGGGAAATAATGTAAGCACTCCGCTTTTGTTTTCATCAATACAAAGTTGATTACATTATTTTCAATGAATTTGCCTGTAAATGAGGAATATAATAACTTATTTTATTGATTTAGCCACACTCCATACATTATCAACAGCATTCAAATCTATATGGTTTTTGACATGTTAACAAACAAGAAGTTCCAGTTTCATCAATTTGGGAAAACAGGCAGGTTAATAAATTAGATTTAATCCCTACTATGTAGATGCATTTGACTCCATACATTATGAACAGTACATATTACAGTGTATGAACATTACAACGGCATAATGTGTTACAGTATTTGCTCTATTAGAAGATCTCCAATAGAAGTGCATGTAAACAAAACATCACATGTGTTGTGTGTGGAATCCTTAAAACCATACTTATTTTCACCACAGATTTAAATGTACCAATGTATGTTACATAAGTGCATACACTACTAATAGAGCAAACCTGGTAATCACATCACATAATACAGAAGACCAGAAAAGAAAATACTCACTTGGGATCTGCTTCCCTCGGAGCTGAGAATCTTTCTTCTATGTTGATGGTATGGGGAAGCTTCAGATCAGAATTATACAGAATTTCCTGCAATAAAAAATGATGAACAGACTCAATATATCATGGCATCTAACATAAAGAATATTTTAGGTTGTGGCAGAGCATAACATAAAATAACTAGGTATTTTTTTTTTTTTTTTTTTTTTTTTTTTAAATAATAAATAAAACAAATGAATTGAACATTATTACACTACATTAATTGAATTCCATGCTTACCTTCTCATGTTTTGTTTCAGCGTTTGGTACAATATGCCCATGTTTCTTTCGTCTAAACACAACTCCATTCGTTGTAGGTGTGGCAGTATATGTTGATTCGTGTTCACCTAAAGCATGGCCACAAGTAGTAAATAATGTCACACAAGTGAAAGCAATACAGTCATCAAGCATTTTTAGTGACTGTCAACATTATTTAACAATTACCGATAGCGTGAATTGATTTAACATACACAAGAAAGACACGTCAGAATGATGGCTATGAACAGCATTATATAGATTGAACAATATGAATCTAATCCGGAAACAAATTACATGCCTTCTGGGTCCGTGGCTAATGACAGCCAAGTGAATATTTTCTGGATTCTAACATTTTGGTTATGGACGTAATTTCAATTGATGAATTGGCAGCCAGTAATCACAATTTAGATTTTATCTGTGAGTCTCGAAGTCTTCGGGTGGCAACATTTAGTTTTCAACAACAGGATTTTGAAACGGATGACGAAAATCAAAATCCTACTTTTTAATTTGCGACGTTTCAATTCATTGAAATGCTAGTGGGGGCGTTTCGGTTATTTGCATATTTTCAGTCGACGGCGAGCGTCAAAAACACAAACTCCAATGTTACGGTAGTCAGTTCTGTTTTGACGCCCAGTTTTCAATACATTATATTTATATAGATTAACACATGCTTGTTTCGTATATGACATCATATTCAAGAGCTAAAGCCACGCTAACTGATTAGTGGCCTTGCTAATTGAAATGAAGATCGAACAAATTTTTTAACACTAAGCATATATCAGTATTTATGTCAAACAGGGAACTTCTCACAGCGAGATCAATTGTCGATTGGCCGCTCAATATCCAAGCATAGTGGAATTTCTCAAAGAAACGTCCGACGATTCTGCAATCATCATAGTATACACCCTATAATAAGTTTGAAGTGAATCACATTGTAAATGTGGCTGCCGGTAAACGAAATTACGAGACTAAAACATTGCACAATCTAACGCCAACTCCAAAATTATATCACTTTCAAGCAATGAAGTGCGATTTTGAAAATGGGGTAACACTTTTGAATAATAATGACAGTGAACAAAGTTTCAACAAATGGTGTGACTGGAATATAGCCACGTGACCAAATGACCGGTTAATTAATGCACATTGTTTTGTGTTTGTTACTTTTGAAGTCTGATTATGCAAAAATCTCCACACGCTACCCCAAAATATAAAACGTACCAGAAAATAACTCAGACGTCCCTAACCTTATTCTGTCTCTTTTTTCCAACAACTAAATTTCGCTACAGACAATGAAAAATGTAATTGTTCTGTAGTATACATTGAAAGTCACCCACGAGGTCATCATGTAGGCGAAGCGAGGGAAGATAACTGACTGGATACATTGTTGATTCCCTTTGATATATTATTAATTTTGTTGGGCCTGTGACAGTGTCCCCTAGCGTGTCAATAAAATGAACATCCTCAATAGGATTTTGATTTTCGTTGCTCATTTCAAAATTTTATTTTTGAAAGGGCGATGTTGCCACCACAAGCATAACTATGAAAACTACGGCTACTAAAAAACTACTAAACTTTAAATTGTGTTTACTTCAGTTGGAATTATGCCAAAAACCAAAATGTTAGTTTCCAGAAAATATTAGAAATTCACTTGGCCGTCATTAGCCACAGACCCTTCAGGTCCATGATGTTCATTATATAGACCAAGATTGATTTCAATCAGTTAATGAGTGACATAAATCCATTTCAAAAATATAAAACCTAATGTGTGATGTATGTGTGAAGATTAAACATGAACAACTCAGGCATATATAACATATGGCTCTATGAAGTTCATTCTGGATGAGGGTAAAAAAATGCATGTGAATTTGTCTGATATGTCTGGTGCATTTTCAAAGGTTGAACTTGAGCGGTCCAGGCATGTCAGAGATGTGAATCAGAAACTGTATTCTTCGAAATGGCCGCCAAATATCCATTTTGAAATCCATCCAACAAATAAAATGACATCAAGGTCTTATCGAGTTCAATGTAAGTACCAATAAAATAGATTAACTACCAATCAGCAGTAACACAGCCAGATATTTCACTATACGAGCTTCAGTTTTGTTCAGAGCATATTGACTCTGTAGTAATCATCCATAATACCTTTGAAAGTTTACAAAATTGTTGTACCATTTAGGAAACATGTTTCACATTTATGTACACAAAATGCTAATATATAATATTTTGGTATTCATGTCTTGTTGTTACACTTTGTTGTTTTTGATTTTTTTTTTGTTACTTTATTGTATTTTCAACTAAGATCCCACTCTGAGATACGGTTTCAATAAAGATTATTATTATTACTTACATTTGTAAAATATTTGTGGGGATAACAAACAAGCACGTCCGTCAACTTGAGGCGAGCAGGTTCTAGACGACCAAATGTAACATCACCCCACTTTTCTGTCATAAGCAAACTCAATAAAATAGCAACCAGGCAACACGTCGGGTACTCTGAACTCATCTATTACATACAATCAATATTTCTAAACCCAAATAGTGTTCTTGTCAAAAAAACTAAAAAGTTTCTATTTACATATTCTCATACCTTCATGACCTGTTTCATTTACTTGATAAGTCCAGTCTTTACCAGATTTTATTAGCTCTTCTGAAGTATGCAGTTTGGAAGTGAACAGTCCTACAAACATCTTCTTCAATGTCAACTCCTCTATGTTTTCATCCTCTGGATAAAAAACTGATGTGACTTCACCGTGGTGGGAAATGATAAATGAGAACCTGGAAAGAGAGAAGATGATCCAACAATAAATACTGTACTGTATCGAGCTTTTAATTATTATTTGCTGGTTTGAGTTTTGCATATGTTCACTGTGACTTTCATGTTACTGGGAAGACAGGGGTCACTCTGACTTTCATGTCATTGGGGAAGACACGGGTCACTGCGACTTTCATGTCACTGAGGAAGACAGGGGTCACTGTGACTTTCTTCATGTCATGGGGGAGACAGGGGTCACTGTGACTTTCATGTCATTGGGGAAGACAGGGATCACTGTGACTTTCATGTCATTGGGGAAGACACGAGTCACTGTGACTTTCATGTCACTGGGGAAGACACGGGTCACTGTGACTTTCATGTCACTGGGGAAGACACGGGTCACTGTGACTTTCATGTCACTGGGGAAGACACGGGTCACTGCGACTTTCATGTCACTGGGGAAGACACGGGTCACTGTGACTTTCATGTCACTGAGGAAGACACGGGTCACTGCGACTTTCATGTCACTGAGGAAGACACGGGTCACTGTGACTTTCATGTCACTGGGGAAGACACGGGTCACTGCGACTTTCATGTCACTGGGGAAGACACGGGTCACTGTGACTTTCATGTCACTGGGGAAGACACGGGTCACTGCGACTTTCATGTCACTGGGGAAGACACGGGTCACTGTGACTTTCATGTCACTGAGGAAGACAGGGATCACTGTGACTTTCATGTCACTGGGGATGACAGGGGTCACTGTGACTTTCATGTCACTGGGGAAGACACGGGTCACTGCGACTTTCATGTCACTGGGGAAGACAGGGGTCACTGTGACTTTCATGTTACTGGGGAAGACACGGATCACTGTGACTTTCATGTCACTGGGGAAGACAGGGATCACTGTGACTTTCATGTCACTGGGGAAGACAGGGGTCACTGTGACTTTCATGTTACTGGGGAAGACACGGATCACTGTGACTTTCATGTCACTGGGGAAGACATGGGTCACTGTGACTTTCATGTCACTGGGGATGACAGGGGTCACTGTGACTTTCATGTTACTGGGGAAGACAGGGGTCACTGTGACTTTCATGTCACTGGGAAAGACACGGGTCACTGTGACTTTCATGTCACTGGGAAAGACACGGATCACTGTGACTTTCATGTCACTGGGGAAGACAGGGATCACTGTGACTTTCATGTCACTGGGGAAGACACGGGTCACTGCGACTTTCATGTCACTGAGGAAGACAGGGGTCACTGTGACTTTCATGTCACTGGGGAAAACAGGGGTCACTCTGACTTTCATGTCACTGGGGAAGACAGGGATCACTGTGACTTTCATGTCATTGGGGAAGACAGGGATCACTGTGACTTTCATGTTACTGGGGAAGACAGGGGTCACTGTGACTTTCATGTCACTGGGGAAGACACGGGTCACTGTGACTTTCATGTCACTGGGGAAGACACGGATCACTGTGACTTTCATGTCACTGGGGAAGACAGGGATCACTGTGACTTTCATGTCACTGGGGAAGACACGGGTCACTGTGACTTTCATGTTACTGGGGAAGACACGGGTCACTGTGACTTTCATGTCACTGGGGAAGACAGGGATCACTGTGACTTTCATGTCATTGGGGAAGACAGGGATCACTGTGACTTTCATGTCATTGGGGAAGACAGGGATCACTGTGACTTTCATGTCACTGGGGAAGACAGGGATCACTGTGACTTTCATGTTACTGGGGAAGACAGGGGTCACTGTGACTTTCATGTCACTGGGGATGACATGGGTCACTGTGACTTTCATATCACAGCGAAGACTGGGGTCACTGTGACTTTCATGTCACTGGGGAAGACACGAGTCACTGTGACTTTCATGTCACTGGGGAAGACAGGGGTCACTGTGACTTTCATGTCACTGAGGAAGACACGGGTCACTGTGACTTTCATGTTACTGGGGAAGACAGGGGTCACTGTGACTTTCATGTTACTGGGGAAGACAGGGGTCACTGTGACTTTCATGTTACGGGGGATGACATGGGTCACTGTGACTTTCATGTCACTGGGGAAGACACGGGTCACTGTGACTTTCATGTCACTTGGGAAAAAGCATTATTGACATTTATCATAGGTATGAATGCTCTCAAATTATCATGAACATTTGGCAAATAGTAAACAGTTTTTTCACTCATACTCACCATTTGGTCATATCCCAGTGTCTTGAATGTGGAAGTACATCGCCTGTAACAAACACACACAATTAAATCGAAATGTTTTCTATGTGGCCATGTCTCCATTGAGATCCTGAAAAAAAAGGCTCTTTCTAATATTAGGGTTATGGATTTATGACAATAACATGAAATGGCATTTTGAATTTGAACAGTGATCGAATTAGTGAATATTACACCAGGTCATGCCTTGAAGTTGTATTATCGGCTAGACTTATTTGAAAGCAGTTAAAATTTTGAGTAACTTGGCCAAAATTCAAATCTGAAAGTTATAAAATTCACAAGTTATTTCTGATTGAAACCTGGTGCAATAAATGTTGTCATGCATTGCTGTTATTGCTGTTATAACTTTGCTCTGGGAGTGTGTTAAACACAATTACGGTAACCTGCAAAGTAAATAATATTTCACTTATACACTTTGTAATATAGTGAATAATCAATCGTCAAACACACTTTTCGGTGACTTGTTGACACCATAAAATACTGTAAATTCAATCACAACTAAATCCAGTAATGCCCGGTGATGATTGGATATTGCCAGAGCAGATATCTTGCCAATACCATAATTGTTAAATTTATTGCAGTACTATTACTCAACACGTAAAAGGCTTCACACAAAAGTTTCCTGACAATATACAACTTCAAAAGAAATGAACTAATAAATAATCACCTTCTGGAGACTGATGATCCAAATACTGCAATATGGATATGACACGTAATCTGCAGAGCTGTCCATTCTTCTCACTTCCCAGCTGAGAAATTCCAATCTGAACGAGAAATAAAAAAAACAAGTTTTAAATCATCAGATAGAAGTTTATTTCATATCATCGTTACCGCAAAATAGCAAATTTTGAGGTGAGAAAAATACAGTTGGTGCACTTTTTTTTTTATTAACTCATAACAGCCTACTGGAGGAGGTTAAAGGTTACAAATTACGAATAAAAATTTAATCAAATTACAATGGCTAAGATTTTATAGAACAACCAAAAGTAGACTAAATTAGTGGACTGGAATTAGTAACATAAAATAAAATAAAATAAAATAAATTGAAATACCCACAAAATACTATAACAGAATATAAAAACAAAAATCCCAATGAACACATAATAATGGATATACAGTATATATAAAAAAAAGTCTATGATTAAGTATGTGCTGCTGTCTAATAACAAAGCTGTTATTTCGATATTGTGCTAAAGGAATTGTTAAGTTATTATTTGACATTATTTTAATGAATTTATTTTCAGGTGTCAGATTTATAAAGTCAGTGATAATCTTTTCAGCTTCTTTGTATTACCTCAGACTAGTAATATTAGTATTAGTATTACTAGTCTGAGGTATTATATACTGGGCCTATTATAAGGAAGTGGTGTTCATCTTCAATGTCACTACTTTTGATTCTGTTGTGTCTTTCTCCTTCATTATCAAGACTGTGATTCAAGTTGCTCAGTCTGAATTTGGTACTTTTCAGTTCTTTATTTTTTAGCTTTATTAAAGGAAAAGTCAAGCCAAACAACATAATTCTCCCTGAAGAAAGCGCTCCACAAATGTAGGAGAATGCAATTTACAGTTTATATATATATATTTTATATATTTATTCATTCTCTAGAAATTCAACTTTTCATCAGTATTATGTAGTCAGCCATCTTGATTCTCAAGCAAAGGATTATGGGTAAAGTGTGACTTCATATCAACTGTTGTGAAAAATTGCAAAAATGCTTTCATCTATAACATGAGAAATACTGATGCGAATTAGGCAAATTAGAATGTTACAAATACACATAAAGTGAAGATATTGCCAAAAACGTTAAAAAATAAAAATTATTATTTTAGACATGAAATATAAAATGACACTTTTTTGTCCCCTTTTTGTGTTCAACAGGTTATATATCACCTATATAACCTACTTACATGGGTAAGTTGTATACAATATCAGGACATTTGAGCATTTGGTAGAAAAACATAAAAATAAATTTTCAGTTCTGTTTCCATGACAACTGTTTTATCAGCATGTTTGGAACCAGTACATGTATGCTACCAATTTCTAAACTTTCAGCCAATTTGAAGTTCAACTTTTGAAGTTATAGATGAAACCATTTTCTCAATTTCTGACAACAGACTCTATGACGTCATACTTTACCCATAACCCTTTGCTGAAGAATCAAGATGGCGGACTACATAAATTGATGAAAAGTTGAATATCTAGAGAATGAAAAGTGATATAAAAAAACTGTAAACTTGTAATGTAATGATCTTACATTTGCCGAGCTCTTTTATCTAGTAGTATTATGTTGTTAGCCTTGACTTTTCCTTTAATTTTCCAAAATAAAATTTGTTTGAAATATTTGTTTGTTCTTTGTATTAGTATTTAAATTCTTCTATTCTAAGAATTTTCGCAATTTGACGACTTTTATGAAGATAAAATTTTGCAAAAGTCGCCGGCCGACACTATGTGACGTACAACCCCAAGGGGATGCAGGAAGCGGGTCCAACCCATTGTGTTGACACAATGGGGTCCAACCAACCGGTGCAGCAAATATGAGAACAAAGCACCATCGACGGGACCTTGACGGGACAGGAAATGAATGCTGGAATGTGAATAATTTGACATTTCGCGTCCGAAATTATCGCTGAATTAAATATTACTCACCTTATGACGAGAAAACACGTTCTAATAATACACAAAAGTGTGCGTTTTACGGAAAACAATGATTACAAAAATGAGAAAGATACCACGATACAAATATGCCGCCATTGCTACATGCAAATTAGAAGTAAACCATTGGAAAACATGGGGGAGAAAGTGTGACTAGTGCATTTTTGTCTTATCTGTACAGTTTTAGTTTTTCTTGAATGTGCAAATATTTTGTTACTGCGACATCTTGCATTCATTTTTTTTCTCTCTGTGTCAAGCTTGTATTTCTTTCAACAAATCTTCCTTTCACCCGCAATAATTTCAAATGGTCGATCCCTAAAATCACTTCCCTGGTCCCTCAGAAGCTTAGGTTGTTGTGATAGTCTGCTGGGGACCGAAAACGGACATCGACGAACGAACTTCTCCGGCCTTTCTGGTCTTAAAATCACTGAGATGATTGTCGGCTTTCGACCTCCATCAGACCATGGACTTAAGTACGTCCACGATCAAGCAGACTATCACAACAGCTGAGCTCCCGTGTCGCTGGATGGGCTTTTGACATTAAAACGCCACCAGCGTCGAAAAATAGCACATAAACTCGATTACCGGTAGGAACCAATCTGATTAAAATCTAATGTAGTGTACGGGCTTTAATCATTAATAGTATTTTGGCTATAAACTTATTTTAATTTTATTTTTATTAATGCCTTTTTATTTTATTATTTTACTTTGATTTTGTGATTTTTTTTAATTCCGCCCTACATAATTACACATGCTATACTATTGAAGCCCATGATGCCCTCCATTTTTATAAATATTTATAACTTTCAATGGCAGTTGAATCGAGCCAGCCAATAAATGAGCAGTAAACAATGACGTCATTTGGAAATGTTATCCATCGTTTAATAGAAACGACTCGTTTAAGTTCTTATTGTGAAATTTATTAATATTTATAAAAATATGATGAAGAGAATGGTTTTGTTTGGTCACTAGTTAACATGTGTACCACATTTGAAGATAAATAATTAATTACCAAACTATTTATATTTTAGAAAATAAATAAACTCACTTTAAAAAGTCTGCTAACTGTTCAATTATGTTTTAACATCAGCTGAGTTAGTTTGTACTGAAACCTATATAATAATAATATACATTGTCGGTACACTGCAAACGTTTACAAAATTCAATCACGTGTGTGGAGTTGTTACCATAGTTACAAATCTATCGGCTCCGATCTTTTAAAAGCAAGAAATTAGAACAATAATCTAAAGTTCATGTAAATGAAAATAAATTCAAAAACTAGTTCGAGTACATTTTTTTTCTTGTCTGCACTTCCAGATAGCCAGTTAGTTACTTGGAAAATCCAGCGAATATTCAGGAAATTATCAAGTATATGTAAAATTATGCCCACGTTCACAAGTCCTTCTATATTTCGAAACGTTAAAGCGCGGTGGTCGTCGCGCAGCGCGTGTTCGGATTTCATGTAAATAAACAATGTATTTTACACGCGTTGTATGCGTCGCTATGAGTCCCATATCGAACAGGTCGACGTGGCACGGCGACTGCCGCCCTTTAATTGTTAAAAGGCGGTGATCGTCGTGCCACGCATGCGCATGCGCGAGATGTGGTGTCATTTGACAACGATGGCGACTGTGACTGTTGTACAGACCAACAAGTACAGACTGGGACGTTACAAAGCTTAACAAGTAATTTCTTTGGTGATTCCGTTAGCACCTTCCATGGTGATTCGAAGGTATTGAAGAAGTCACCGGCGGTAATTAGTGGACGTCGCGTCCAGGTCAAAACTCCATATAAAGAAGAGCGCAATGTCGCACATGCGCGGCGCGACGACTACCGCCCTCTCATAATACTAGGAGATCATCTATGATTCATCAACAGGTGGTTATCGCGAGATTACCTAGAATCACGAGAACATCGCAAAGCCAATAGATGCGGAAGTCGGTGCGATCCCGTACTACCGAAGTGCATACTTTGTGCTATTCTTCTGGTGACTATTGGCTGATGTGAACTAGAACCGGAAATAAAAAAACAATCACTACACAACCAACAACCAAACATACATGTCTATTTGAACGACACTACTTTGAACACTGAAGTCACAGAAGCGCTTCGGCGCTAGAGGGCGCTCCGCTCACAGTCACTCTCCTATGATACAATAACTGTGTATGAATATTCTTGCTAGTGATAATTATAAACAAGAGGTTAATTCTCAGTAAAAGAGGCGGAACGATGAGG